AACATTTTTAGTAAAAAATTATTTTTTATCAGAAACTATATTTTTATTTAACTTAAAATTAACTTTCTTTTTCTTTTAAATTTTATTTTTAAATATTTAATTATTTAAATTTAATTATTAATTCTCTATTTAGCTTACCGTATTTCTTCAAATACAGCCCCATGGGGCTCTATTTTTCAACTATCCTCCAAGGTGGGGCTGTAATAGAGGGTGGGGCTCTATTTGAAGAAATACGGTATAATCACTCTCCCCATATTTTTGAGAAATTCTATAAGATATTTATGTAATGATTTTAGCTTGGGCCGAATTTTTAGAATTGTTTTTCATACTTTCCACATTTTACACATTTTCGTGTATTTTTCTAAATTTATTTTCTACACATATATTTTTGATAACACAACGGGGGTCAGACATTTCGGGATATTTCAATGTAATTTATTTCAATCCCCTACTGATTTCGGGACCTGTGTCCACTGGGTCGTGGTACATTGCATTGAAGGAAACGTTTTTGTTTTAAACTCAGGAGATTATTTCTTTCACAGCAGTCCCGAGATGTCCCCATCCGAGATGTCCATCCTGATACCTACCATTAAACTGGATAAATGACAAAACTCTTCTTCGAAAAAATATTAATTTTTAGATTATTTTTTAATTTATTTTTCTATTCTGCCACTGCCATCAAATAATTAAACACAAAATTTTATTAAAAATTCCTGCCACATTTATTTTTTAATTATTTTTTAATCTTCACCGTACGTGTGGGTGTGCCTTAAAAACAAAATTAAAAACTTCAAAAAACATCAAAAGTCATCTTCTTCCTCTTCTTTCCCGTTATTTTTTCAACAAATATTCATCAATTAATTTACGCAACAAAATTGTAAACCTGTCCTTATTTTAAAAATTATAAATTTAAAATGCTTCTAAAATAATTAAAAGGACAAATAAAATTTAGGTAAACTTTTAAATTTTTAAATTTAAAATTAAATTTATTAAATCTAATAATATTCTATAATAAATCAATTATTGGTACTCTTGTGTTATCTCCCCCCATTTTACATATTTGCATTAGAAGTACCCAGGTCTGCTTTTTATAACATCCGTATTGAAGTTTTGAGTGTGTGGAGCTCTCTATTCCCATAAAATATTCTGGTTAAAGGTGAACGTATTTTTTAAGTAAATATAGGTACTGGTACTCACCATCGTTGGAATTGTGTCCTATTGCAAAACTGGGAACTCATGAATTACATTCACTTTGACCCATGTGTACTTTTGTGTAGAAAGTAAAAAGAAGGGATAACAGAAGAGTACAAGAGTACCCAATTATTTATATCGGGATTGAAAACTTTTTTTACAAAATTTTTTTTGAAATTTATTCAACTTATATTTATTTTTCTTCATCTTTTCTCTCTCCCTCCTTTATCTTCAACTATTAACATTTAATTAATTTAATTTTATTCTCATCAATCTTTATAATTTCTATTTTAGCAATTCATCCCTAATTTCCGGTTTTTTGTTTTATTTTAATAAATTTTGCATAAAATAAATGCCAAAATATTAATTTAATTTTTTAAAAGATTTTTTTATTGTCCTAATGTTTTTCTAGGTTCTATTTATTTACTTATATTGCCCCGCCCACTATTTATGTTTACTTAATCTTTTTCTTTAAACCAAAAATAAACTTTTTTTGATTTAAAAATTACTTGTAATTTTAATTAAATATTTTATAATTTATTTTAATTTTTATTTTTTATCAAAAAAAATAATTTCATTTTTAAAATTTAAATTAATATGTATATTTTTCTAACATGCTTCTCTTAATTAAAAATATTATTTAAATAATATTAAAAATTAATTTTAAATAAAGAAATAACAAATCAACCAAAAAATTATTTCCAAATTAATGAACTGATAATTATTAGTTTAGTTTTTTAAGTCTACAATTTGTAGTTTTATTTTTAGGAGTTTTTTACACAAATAAATTTAATTCTAATTATTTTTTCGATAACATAGAGATCAAAAAATATTTTTTTATAAAATATTACTGATTAAATTATACTAAAAAAATATATTTGCGAGACAATTATAACACAGACTGGCACTAAAATTAAATTTAAAAATTAATAACTTAAAAAAATAATTTTTTGATAAAGACCAATTATTTTTTATATGTATAAATAAATTTTAGAGAGTTCCATTAATTTTTTTAACTCTTTATAATTTTTATTTATTAAAATTTATATGGTCATTTATTTGAATTATTTTTTAAATTATTCCAAAAATTATATTTAGCTTATTTTCAAATTTATTTAATTTTAATAAACAAATAAATTTTAGTTCTTTACTTTAAATTTAATTTGTTTTAATTAAAAATTTAAATTTAAAAAATTTTTCAAAAAAAATTTTTTTTAAGTTGATGAAGGAGCAAACAAGCGAGCAAGAATTTGCTCCATTATCAAAACAAAATTGTTTGCCCCTATCAGAAGCAAGTACATCCCAAACATTGGAAGTATTAGAATCATCCAATTCACCACTGCCAATAAATAATCGAAATTCTTTGTATCATTCATTGCCGCTTTATTGGCCGAAAGGTTTTTTGGGATTCACTAAATTAAAATTTAAATTGAATAAAATTAGAAATTATTTTTCCAAAGTTGGAATAAAAAATAATTTTGAAATTTTTTAATTTTTAAAATTATTTACTACATACCAGAGATCTAGCCGACCCGATTCCCTAAAATCGGGAATTCCCGACATTGTTTGAGTCGGGAATCCCGATTCCTGAAAATCGGGAATTGAATTTTTATATCGGCTAAATCCCTGCTACATACTCAAAAATCCACCAATATTCTGCATTCTTTTTATTAAATTATCAAAAAAATTTTTTTTCTAAAATTTTAAAGGTTGGAGAACCTATGGCCCATCTACACAAACAAATTCCTTTCATCAATCCTCACTTAATCCCGAGCCTTCTTTTACGGCAAGCACTTCTCCTTTGATTGATAATGAACATGAAACAAACACACGGCAGCAAAGGAAAATCTATTCATTAAATCGACATCAAAAAATTTCAAAAAACGACACCGCCTCGAAGGGATGGTGGAGAAAAAGGAGAAAAGAATTTAATTTTGTGGGTTTATTTTCTTAATTTTTTAAATTATTGTCGAATCTCTGAAGGAAAATAATGGGTCAGTTAAGAAGAGTAATCTTGACAGGGACCGGAGGGACAATACATACCGTATATCCTTTAATAGCTACTCTGGGTAATTATTTATTCGACCTTCCGTTAAAGGGAATAATTAATCGAGGAAGGATAATTATACGAGGTTTGAAATTTGAACGTGTTTTAGGGCATTTGTTTGGGGGTAATTATTGTTTCAATCTACCGCTGGATGTGAGGGAGGGCAATTAATACAGGTTATACGGTATATCGAGAGTCGATTTTAATTAATTTTTGTGTTCTAAATTTTAAAATAATTTTTTTCTAGTTTTCATTTCTTCCCTCCCTTAATGTCAAAGGAGTAAAATTATTCCAATTTTTGGCCCTCTTGATCTCTGCTTTATTTTTACTTTCAATTATTATTTTTGTTATTGCTAATTTTTCTTCAATATTCTCAAAAAATGGAAACAACGAAAAAAATAATAAAGAAAATTTATTAAAAAAGGAAATTAAACGACTTAGATCGGCATATTCTGGTGCTTTTAAATTTTTTAAAAATAAATTTAAAATATTTTTTGGATATTTACATTCTTGTAGGTGATCCTTGAACTGTTTTTGTGTATTTTTTAAAAAATATTAAAAAAAAGAGACTAAATGTATTTTTTGTGTTTTCATTTTAAAATTGCGTTAACTAGCACTAAAGAATTGGGAAGTTAGCCAAAATACGAAAAGTAAACAAAAAATGATGAGAATTGTATAAATAGTTTTTTGTTTGAAATTAAAGCAAAGAACAGAAAAAATGATGAGAAATACTTAATAATATTTTGGGGGATATGAATAAAAAATAATAATTTAAATTAAAAATTTACAAATTTCCAGATATTCGACCCAAAGAAACCCAAATATGGCTATTAAATAATTTTGAATTAGAGCGGAAACATAAAAGAAGTATTAGAGAAGAGGACGAAATTAATTCAAAATCTGTTTTTGGACTTGCCCGCCTTTGTGGATTTAATTGTACTGTTAATTTAAAACATGGAATTGATGATAATAATAGCGGTGAAAGTAGAATTTCAACTCAAGTATTGCGTATTTCATTAAAAAGAGTTGAACAGAATGAGAAAGAGGGGATTGGAAAAAGAGAAAGGAGAAGGTGAAATTGTAATTAAAATTAAATCAGAATTAAGATAGGAAAAAATACATAATAAATAGAGTAAAGCAGATAGCTAATAGAGATCGAACCAAACTAGAGTACGTCCAAGTCGAGCAAGTTCGAGTAAACTCGAACTCGCTTTACTCGACTCGTTCGCTCGGGTTTTTTGCCTTTACTCGAGCTCGGGACTCGGGATCCTAATACTCAGCATTACCTACATATTCTTACTCGTTTTTTCCCAATTGCTCTGTACTCGACGTACTCCAGACCAAACAAATATTTGACGAGGAAAAACAAATATTTGATCAAATTTTATTTGGGTTTATTTAATCAGATATTTATTTGATGATTTTTGGTAAAAATCAAATTTTTCAAATATCAAATAATTTTCAAATTATTTGATCTAGTATTTGATTTTGCCATCTGTCCGAGCTCTATGTAATAGCTATTTAATTTCTAAAGCTAAGCAGGAGACGGGTTGGTTAGTTCGGTCAGATGCCTGTTCTGTTCCAGCCGCTTTTGCAGTAGCTGAATGAAGTTATAGCCCAGATTTAGCTTTCCTAAAGAAACTAAACAAAATTAAACTAAACTAAAATTCCAACTAAAATTAACTAATAAATAAAATATTTTAGTACTGCATCGGATAATCAAAATTGGAATCCTTTATCTCCTTTCCTATTAGTTCAATCGATGGATTCTGATAACCACACACAAATTAGTCGATCACATATTTCACCAGCCTGTTTTTACGTTGCCAAAATAGATGATGGCAATTGTTTTGAAAGCAGTATTGTAAATTTATGTGATCGAAATAATGGATTGGTTAGTTGGGAACGATTATTTTTCAATTTATTTTCAAATTTATAGTTCGGTACATTAGCTTTCAGTGAAGGTGCTTTCTTAATTGAACCTTTAATTGATGAAGAGGACTTTGAAAAAGCTCAAGGAGATAATCCAAATAATTATTTTGATGAAAGTTTAGGTGGAGGACATCCTCACCATCAAAGGAGAAAACGTCGCCATAGACCTCACGACAATCGAGATCAAGTATTATTGAGAGCACATCTAATTTATCCAGTGCAGACACAATATTTTGGAGATGATCATAATAATGAGCGGAGACAGCAAAAATCTACTGAAAGTGGGAATATTTTATAATTTTATATTCTTTTCTTATAGTTACAGTCTTAACATCATCTGAGGAATTTACAGCAGGATTTTCAAAATATTCTCAAACTATTAATGCCAACACAAGTCATCATGGTGAATTTTATTTAATGAAAAAAATTAACGAATCATTTGACTTAGCCCTCCATCCGAATCCTTACCACTGCTAGGGAGGGCATTAAGGAACCACTGGGGTTCCTTAAGGTTAATCCGAAGATTAGATAGCTCGCCTTGAGAAGCATAAGCCTCAATCCATCTTCCACAATGAAAGATACACCCCGAAAGGCGTAACGAGCCTTGCCCAGGAATTGCAATCAAGTAGCGACCAAGATTGCTCCTCCGCTCCTAGCAGGAAACGGCGGCCAGTTGATTCACAAATTTTTCTCGGATTCTTTTCCTTATATAAATAGAGGTATTTCTCAAATATAATATTCGATGGGTTGCAATTAACATAGATAAGAAGAGAAGGAAAAGAAAAAGAGAAATTTGTTTACGAGTTACAAATATTTTAAATTTAAATATTATATATTGTACATATTAATGAGGATAAGAAAAAAGAGATTAGGTATTTAGATTATTATCCAATTTAATAATTAAAAATCAAGCCCTCTTTTCCAGATTCTCCCAAATTTCCATTTCTGCCAGTGAAACGTGATCGTCGATCTCCCGCTACTTTAGCCAATTCTTGGGATCATTATGTTGAAGTGCTTGTTGTAGCTGATCACCAAATGCTTTTATATCATCAACAAAATTTGGAGAATTATGTTCTAACTTTATTTTCAACAGTTTCAGCAATCTATAGACATCAATCCTTGGGTGTTTCTATTAACATGGTTGTCGTTCGCATCATCATAATAAAAAATGAACGTGCTGGACCCTTAATATCTAATCGGGCACAAGAAACACTTCAACAATTTTGTCATTGGCAGCAGCTATATAATGACAGAAATGACGATTCTTTGAATCATCATGGTAGACTAAAGATTTATTGAAAATTATAGTGAGCTTAATTAAATGTTTAAAGATGTTGCAATTCTTTTAACTCGTCATGACATATGCCGGGCTACAAATAAATGTGACACTCTAGGTCTTGCCGAGCTTGGAACTTTGTGTGATAGCAAAAGAAGCTGTGCAATAATTGAAGATAATGGTAAAAAGAAATAAATTTTTAGACTATGTTAATTCAGGGTTATCTGCCGCATTCACAATTGCTCACGAGCTCGGTCATATCTTTAATATTCCACACGATGATGAACGTAAATGTGCAGAGTTTATGCCATTAAACAAAGCTAACTACCATATAATGGCACCAACACTTGAATACAACACAAATCCCTGGTCCTGGTCTGCATGCTCCTCCGCAATGCTTGCCCGTTTTTTGGAGGCACGCCGAGCCCAGACACAATGTATTCTCGACAAACCTGTTGAGAGACGGTATTATGAAAGAATGTTTGAAAATCCCGCACCTGGTGAAATGTAATAAAATTTTGTAATGTAGGAAAAAAATTTTCTTTTATTTTTTAAAGTTATTCTGTCTCTCAACAATGCAAATTCGTCTTTGGAGCTGCAGCTGAACTCTGTCCTTATATGCCAAGTTGCCGCAGATTGTGGTGTGCCGTCTCTTATGGATATCAAATGGGCTGTCGTACCCAGCATATGCCGTGGGCCGACGGAACAGAATGTGCTCGACAAATGTGGTGTTATATGGGTCAATGTGTTGGTATGTCCCCTACACAGAGACTACCTGTTGATGGTTCCTGGGGTGAATGGAGGTCGTGGGGTGATTGCTCTCGAACATGTGGGGGAGGTGGATTTTCTGAATCATTACAATGTTATTGAAAAGTTCTATAGGAATCCAAAAGTCGTATCGGGATTGTGACTCTCCTCGGCCAGAACATGGTGGTAAATACTGTACTGGGCAACGAGTACGTTATCGTACTTGTGCTATACACGAATGCCCTTGGGATATGCCTGGAATTCGAGAACAACAATGTGCCGAATTTGATGGAAAAGATATTGGAATTCACGGTGTTCCTTCAGTCGGCACTAGATGGGTCCCAAAATTTTCTGGAATTGCTGAAAATGAACGGTTAGAGGAAACGAGTGAATTTACTCGATTATTTTTAAATTTTATAACAGATGTTTACTTTATTGCCGTCTCTCTGATTCTGCGGCGTTTTACAAATTAAGGGATAAAGTAATTGATGGAACTCCTTGTGATAGAAACGTGGACGATATTTGTATTGATGGAGGATGTCATAAGGTGGAGAAAAATATTTTTTTAGTTTTTCAATAAAATATTTATATAGAGTGGCTGTGACCATAGACTTGGTTCAGATATGCGTCGGGATGTTTGCGGGATTTGTGGCGGGGATGGAAGAACTTGCCGTGAAGTAAAAGGGGTTTTCAATGAACGAGGAACTTTTGGTTTAGTGATAAATACTGAACTAACATTTTTATATATTAGGTTATAACGAAGTTTTACGGATTCCTGCTGGAGCCGCAAATATTGATATTACACAAAATTCTTTGCATCAACTAAGAAAGGAGGATGACGAAAATTATTTGGCTTTAAGAATGCCAAACGGTGATTGGCTTTTGAATGGACAATTTCATGTATCGGTATTCCCTCAACAAATACAAATACTTGATACTGTTCTTGAGGTATCTTGAATGATAAAATATATAAAGGAATCTTTAATATTATTTTTGATATTAATTATATTAATAATAATTATAATAATATATTAATAATAATAATTATTAATATTTATTCCCATTAATTTCCTCAATAAAATCATTTAAAGTATTCTGGAAGTGACACACCTCAGGAACGCATAAATGGTACAGGCCCATTGCGAACTGATGTTTATCTCCATTTTTTGAGTGGCCGTAATCTGAAATTACCAAACATTCATTACCGATATATGGAGCCTTTGCCTCAAATATCGGTGAGTTAACTTGAGATATTTTTCTCAAAAATTTTAAATTAATATTTTTTAAATTATCTTGGAATAAGCTTCGTTAAGCTTAAAATTTATTATTTCATAACACATTTCACAGCGCGAGGTAGCAGCAGCTGCAAAAACCTACGAATTAAACAATTTATCCTCACAAAAACATCAACAAAGACAACATAAATCACAACAGCAACAAGTAGTCCCTAAGGCTCCAAACACATTTTATTGGCGATTTACTGAAAATAGTTGGAGTGAGGTATGTTTGATTGTCCATTGGATTATTTTTTTAATAATTACCCCTTTTATTTTGCATAATTAAAATTTTATTTAGTGCACTCTCAAATGTCAAGGCACTCAAACCCAGCTATTGCAATGCCTGGACACCCTCACCATGAAAGTTTTGCCTGATTCTATGTGTGGTACTTCTCGACGACCTGACCCAAGACAAAGAATTTGCAACGTCGAATGTTTTTATAAATGGCAACATCGTCTATTGTCTTATAATGGTAGAGGAGAGAAGGATAGGTGATTTGAAACTTTTTTGATATTCTGTTAATATTTCGACTAGATATCAACATCAATGTGTTCGTTCTTATACAAATGGTCGTGAGGAACAAGCAAGTGAAGATGAATGCAAGAGATCAGGAATTCCACTTCCCACACCACCCAGTACAAGGAACCATCCTCAACAGCAACAAATTAATGAGCAGTCACCGAATAAATATGTGACTGATCGACGCTGGGCATACACTGAATGGAGTGTGGTAATGATAGAGTGTGTTTAACTTTAGAAAATTCGAAATTAAACTTTAGTGCTCGGAATCTTGTGGTACCGGCGGGATTCGTCATCGTTCTATTCATTGTATTGATACCCGGAATGGGCAGAAAGTCGAGAATCGCTTCTGCGAGGGAATTCCTCACGAGACACTCCATACAGAATGTAATCGGACACCATGTCCACGATGGGTTTATGAAGCCTGGAATGAATGGTAGTATCTATTTCTGTCTTGGAAATATATTCAAAAGCAATTAAATACCTTTTTTTAAGTTCCCGATCTTGTGGTAGTGGAATTAGAATTCGACATGCTTCATGTCAGGATGCTTCTGGTCGCGAAGTAAATGCTCGTTTATGCCCTAGCAATAAATTAGATAGCGAAAAGTGTAACGAACAACTTTGTACTGAATGGCGTTTTGGAGCATGGAGTCAATGTTCGGTCAGTTGTGGCCAAGGCATTCAACGAAGAGATGCTAATTGTGTTGACTCTAATAATCGACCTCTTGAAGATAGGAATTGTGATATTCGGGAAAAAATAGTTGTTAAACAATGCGAGTTGGCACCTTGTCCTCACTGGCAATTAGGCTCTTGGAGGTGGAACACGTTTTTCCTTAATATTCAAAAATTTTTCTTTCCTCAGTCAATGTTCTATCAGCTGTGGCTCTGACGGATTTCAGACCCGTTTAGTTCAATGTGTTGATTCGGTTGGAAGAAAATTGCCAGATATTATGTGTACCCAACAAAAAATTAATGAACAAACTTCCATTAATTCAAAAATATCTGAAAATCAGAAACAACAACTACGTCCACAAAGCCATAGAGTCTGCAGCCCAGGACCCTGTCCCTACTGGTTAATTATTTATTAAACCCAAAAAAACATTTCCTTCATAAAATTATTTTCTATCTCATAATAGGCGAACTTCTGATTGGAACAAATGTTCTGTTAGTTGTGGGCAAGGAATAAAGAAAAGGCTGGTAGAATGTGTTCTTCGCAATCAAATAGTTGATGATTCGCTATGTACAGCTGTCAACAGACCCTCACATGAAGAAAAGTGTGTATTAATGTCATGTGCCGTTTGGAATGTTGAATCTTGGGGGCCGGTGTGTTAATTTTATTTGGCAATATAAATATATAGATAATTAATTTGGATACTTGTTCAGATACCTAAATTATCAATAAGAATTATTATAATAATAATATTATACATAATTTAATACTTTAATCATTATTATTACTTTAGTGTTCATTATCATGTGGTTCTGGCGGTACACAACATCGAACTGTTAATTGTGTTCGTTACACAACTAGCCGTAATTACAACAACGAAAATAATTATATTGTTCTCCATGATCGCGAATGCACTGTAAATATTTGGAATTTTGTTTTTTATTGAAATTTAATTCTATAAGGGTCAAAAGCCTCAGTCCGATCGTATTTGTGAACTTCCAGCTTGTCCAATAATTAAAGGTGAATGGGTGATTGGCCAATGGTCTGAATGTCCACTTCCAAAACCATGTAATGTCAATAATGAAATTGTCGAACAAATTCGACTGATAGAGTGTCGAAACAATGGAGAGCTTATTGAAGGTGTTAGAAATATTAGAAATACACATTTCTATTTTTTATATTTTCTAGATAAATTCTGTTCACATTTGGAAAAGCCTTATTCTCGTCGCTCTTGTCCTCCATGTATTAATATCCCAAAAAGTGAATCACCTAAGTCTGATTTTAAAACATCATACACAAATCCTCCTGCCCTTCTGCATGTTTCAGCCGCAATTTCTTTATTAGGCAACCAACAAAAAAATATTGGGAAATGGATAACTGATGAATGGTCATCGGTAGCTATAATATAATTTTCTATGATATTTATTAAATATCTTTATATAGTGTTCTGCAAGTTGTGGAGGTGGTTGGCGTCAACGTAATATCCATTGTAAAAGTGTGGACAACGTTACAACATTAAAAAATTGTTTGGAATCTGAGAAGCCTATCAAATTAGAATCATGTAACACACAAAAATGCCTTTCTGGACAATGGAATGTTGGCCATTGGTCTCCCGTGAGTTTTGTTACTTTATCACTATTTTTACCACTATTTTCCTCTTTTTTAAACTCATTCGCATCGAAACGCAAAATTCGCTAAATTATTTAACTCTATCGAAATTTCCCACTATTGTGTATTGAATATCTATTTAAATTTTGAATTAAAATATGTACTATCTAAATAGTGCTCCGTCAGCTGCGGTGGCCAAGGAGAGCAAACACGTTTGGTTTGGTGCAATTCAGCGACCAATTTGCTTCAAAAACTCGATGATAATCAATGTGATTCTGATTTGAGACCTGACTCGAAAAGAATTTGCTCGAGAATGAATGAATGTATTACAAAGAATAATTCACTTTCCTCAACTGGAATTTCTTCAAAAATTTCTGAGAATCCTCCAACATATTCAAAAAATAAAGACTATCCTGTCAAAGTTGCTTCATCACCTGTTTCTGTCCCTTTAATTGTTCAACTACCTCATTGGGAGAGCGGCCCTTGGAGTGCGGTTAGTAAAAATAAAGAAATTGATGAAAGATTAAAAATAAATAATAATGGAAAAAATATTTGGTGTAGACATGGGAAATGTCGAAACAGAACTCGTCAACATTTAAGGCATAAGGAAAAATCTATTGCCACAAATCATTCTAATCCTTGAGATGGAATATTTTATCTGCTTTTAACATTTTGCTTATTTCTTCTGGGAATCAAACAGCTCAACGTACCGCCGAGCTTTAACTTTGTCCAAATTTTCGAATCTGGGACGCCCTGGGCCCGTGTCATAAGAACTCGGTTGCTTGTTAGGTAACCACCAACCGCTGTTTTAATCGGTATCATAAGACGGTCTAAGGTTAACTATGACCCTTAGGTGCCTGGTTAGGTGAATAATACGGGCCCTGGTCTTATGATATGGGCCCTGGCTTAATCAAGCCAACCAGGACTTCCCGGATTTGAAAATTTTAGACGAAGTTATAGCTCGGCGGTACGTTGGGATCAAATTGTATCCCTTTTTCTGTTTTCTTTGGGATAATTTTTTATTTTTAAATAATTTCCCGCATTTACTGTCCTTTTTTCTCGTTTTTACTTTTTGTTATTGTTTATTTTTTGTTTGTTTAGTTGTTTATTTTTATTGTTATCGTTTGTTTTCTTTGTTTTTCTGTTTTGTTATTGTAGCTTTTTGCTTAAATAAAATTTAAATTTTCTATATTTCCTTTAACTACTAAAACTTGCTTAAATAACAAATTTAAGTTGCTTAAATAATAAAATATTATTAAAGTTAATTTCCATTCTACCGTATACTATAGCAAATAAGTATACCGTAAAAACTGTATTAACTATCCTGGGTAACGATCTCTCGCTGGAGGGGGTAATAAGTAGAGGCGGGGTAATTAATAGAGGTTATTTTAGAAAGGCGAATTATAACTATTTTTAAGGGAATAATTATTGTTTAAACCTTTCGCTGGAGGGGGTAGCTAATACAGGCGGGGTAATTATTTGAGGGAGGGACATTAATACAGTTTTTACTGTAATTAACCAAGATATTTAATTTTAAAAATTAAATAATAATCTTAAAATTGTTAAAATTAACTTTTCAGTGCCCTAATAATTGTGGTTCAACAAAACGTACGAGAATAGTCAGGTGTATAGACCCCTTAACTAAAGCAGAAATTGATCATTCACGTTGTTTGGTCAGTGAACGACCAGAAACGGAACATCCTTGCCGGCATTCACATTGTCCCAAATGGCATAAAGGCGAATGGGGAACGGTTTTCTTTTCAATATATTTTTAGTATAATGCTAAGAACATTTCATAATTAGTTTCTGTGCTCGTACCGAACATGTTATCGAGATTAAATTTCGAGCTTATATATTTTTGTAGAATTTCTGGAACAAATATAGCATAGAAAAAAAGGATTGAAATCTTGCTCTTATAATTATGAAACACCCCGTTTTTGAAAAAAATCATAGAAATTTTTTAATTCAATGAAACTCTGAAACTTTCACAACCCTAATACATATTTATAGAATAATTACTAATAGAAAAAATTAGGGCCAAATTGGTACTCAGAAGTATGAGTAACACCATAAAATTGTTTGCTCTCATAATTTTCAAATAAACTTTAAATCAAATGGTCATGAATTTTCATTTTTAGTAAAGCTAGAAAATTTGCCGAAATTTCAAATATTTTTAGTGTTCAACCTCGTGTGGTCCTGGATTTGCTAAACGTGAAGTTGTATGTAGAAAAGGTGTTAGAAACGAGCACCTTTTAAACGACAATGAGTGTATCTCAACAGAACCAAAGCCTCCAGAAATAAGAAAATGTAATTTGAAAAAATGTACACAATATTCTTGGCGTATAGGAGCTTGGTCAAAAGTACTTGGATTTAAATTTTGCTTTTTATTTTTATTTCTACTAGTGTCTTGATCTTTGTAAGCCCGGTGAACAAAGGCGACGTATTTATTGTGTGAAGTAAATTTAAATAAAATATTATATAAAAATAATTCGAATTAAGTGATATCGGCAAAAAAGCTTCTCCAGAAATGTGCGAAAACAGTGCGAACACAGTAAAACCAATAGAAACACGAAAATGCCAAACAGATAAATGCGTATATATTTAATTTTAAAAATATACAACACCATATTTTCGATAATTGGGCAGCCGCTTCCAATATGCTGAGAAAGGGGTTAAAGCGGCATTTTAAGAAGGGATGGAAATATAGAGCAGCTGGCCGCTCAGGGAGAGGGGGGGGGAGAACATGAAGAAGTGACCATTCCTTGATGATAATGATAAGGACTGAACTGATCCAGACTGAACTGAGGTGCTCCGGGCCGCTCAATTAGAGAATTTTATATTAAAATTTTTTATAAAATAACAATTTAATTTTATTATCAGCCTTACTACTGGGTAGCCGGCCCTTGGAGTTCATGTTCTCGCTCTTGTGACATTGGGGTGATGCTTTTATTTTTTAAAGGAAATTTTTTCAAATTTTAGCAACAATTTCGCCAAATCGAGTGTAGATTGCGTAAAGATATTATTTCAATTTCTAACACAAATGAGGACTATACTGACACTGCCAAAGAGATATCTGAGCCAATTGTGCTTTCTAGTATGTGTATGGCACTCGAAAATAAGCCGATTGTTAGTATTAAGAATTACATAAATACCGTATTTCCTCTAAAATAACCCCAGCGGGTTATTTTTTCGGCTATTTAGGGGGGGGGGCTATTTTAGAGGAAATACATAAAAATAAAAATCGAATCTCTCTATAACGATACAATTTGTCAAACTTTAATGACAAATTGTGTTTATGAATCTCCTATAAAAATTTCAGATTAATTGGACAATAGAAACCTAGATATATTTTAAGACACGCCTTAACACACTAAGAGAGACACCGTAAGACATCTTAAGAAATAATCGGGGAGGAGGAGGGAGGATTTAGAATACGTGTGCCTGCAATAGAGATCATAAGGGATTACAAATTTTTGAATCTTCTCCTATAAATAATTTTAAAATAAATTTCCAAGGTTACACAGCATTGCGAAATAAATTCTTGCAATGCTCGATTTCATTGGAATGCCGGCCCTTGGTCGAAGGTGTAGTTTAATTATTTTTTTTTAAATTATTTTTGGTCTCATTGTTATTTTTTAATTGTTTTAAATTTGTAAGAAAATTATTTTTCTTTTCTTTCATTATTTTTATCATTTATTTACAATCCATATAATAATTTTAAAATTATTTTTAGTGTTCAAAAAGTTGTGGTCCAGGCTTTAAACGCCGCAAAGTTCGATGTCTGGATAAAAAAGGTGGTAGAACAACAAATTCCCCAGACGGAGGTGGGTGTGATCTAACAACTCGTCCCAAACGTAGAGAGCCTTGTTTTATTCGAAATTGTATGCCTAATGACTGTGCCGAATTAAAAGCCCATCACCAGGCTAAACAAATAAATATTGACGGAAATGAAAAACAATTAAATGATGGAAATTATACTGTGTGTTTAGTATAATTTTTGAAAACTCGAAAATTTCTGTATTTAAAGGTTATGCTTAATGGCTATAAAATTATCGTTTATTGCCATCAAATGAATGAAACCATTCCAAAAACTTATTTAAATTTACGTCCCGAAAGTAATTTTGCTGAATTTTATGGGAAAAGGTGAGGGGAATATTTAAATTATTTTTAAAATAATAAAAAAAATAGACTTGCCTACCCCTATTCTTGCCCCCATAATGGTCTTCGAAACGATAGCTGTGCTTGTACAAATGATGGCCATGTCAGCCAAGGTTTTACGAGATATAACAAAGTTCGCATCGACCTTCACAATATGAAAATTAATCGTAAAATTCCTTAAATTTAAATTAAGAAATAATTTTTTCCTAGCAAATGACTATACATTTGCTATAACTGAATACGGTAGTCCCGTTGCTTTTGGCACCGCTGGTGATTGTTATTCAATGAGTGATTGTCCACAAGTAAATACTTCTTTTGATTGAATAACCAATTTTTGTTTGAAATTTTAGGGTCGTTTTTCAATAGATCTCCGTGGCACTGATCTTCGAATAGTTGATGACTTGGAATGGGTCAATCAAGGGCATAGGACAAGTGTTAGAATTGAACGCTTTGAAGTAAATATTAAAATTATTTAAATTAAAAAAATTTTTTAATTTTAAGAATAATGCTCTAATTCAAGGACTTTGTGGTGGATATTGTGGAGAATGCTCACCTGACCGCTTTAAAGGATTAATTATAGCTGTAGACAATAAAATTAAAAATTTATAAATTTTCTAAAATTTCTTTATAATTTATTACCTCTGCAATTCTACTTATATTTTATTAATATTAATTTTCCTTTTATTTCTTTAAACTTTTAAAAATATCACTGCCTAACCAATTATTGTTGATTATAATTTAATGGTTGTGAATAATTTGATAAATATTAATTTTTGTAATGACGCTGTCAAATAATAATTTAAATAATTTTTGTGGGAAAATTATTAAGAATACTTATAATTTTAAAGGTTCTAATTTCTTAAATCCTTTTCCAATAGAAATAATTTTAAAAATAAATGTATCTATAGATAGGTTTTAAGAATAATGCTTTAATTAAAGGATTTACTAGCCAAAGTCGAAGTAATTTTTTTCCTTGTACCTGAGATAACTTTTGAGAGTCAACATAAAAACTACAATTTAGCGATTCAAATTAACTTTTCTAATAAAAAAATCTATTAAACTCTTCTACAATCATAAATGCTTTTATCCATTCGAAAGACTTATACATACAAGAAATCCACAAATAGAAAGTGTAAAATAAATAATAATAAAGATAACTCCCTCCCTTCCCAACATTTACACTTTCTGCTTATAAATATAAAATATACAAATTTTTGAAATAAATGTATAAATAAGAACAAAAAATATTTAAACTTAATTTTTACATTTTGTATTTAAATCTATAGAAGTGATTTTAGTTTTTAGCCCGGAATAGTTATTAAAACGAAAAAAATTTTTGATTTAAAGTAAATTTTTGGTTCAAAAATTGTTTAAATATTTTTATGTATTTTGTCAAAAATGCGAAAGCAAAGCAAATAGTATGAGTTTTTTTTGTCAAAAATATTTCTTGTATCTGAGATTAATTTTGAGAGTTAATTAAACTAACAACTTTCATTCTCAATTGTCCATTTTTGAAGATGAAGTAGGTGGAGTAAGCTTATTGAGCTTAACAAGTTCAATGTGTTTGTCACTTTCCAAATGTGCATTATAATCCTCGTTCATAACGTAAATGTTGCAGAAGAAACAATATTTCTTCTTTGTTGGAGATGTTGAAGAATGACTATGGCTCCTCTTGAGACCTCTCTTTGCTGTTTAATTAAAAGAACAAAATTATTTTATTATAATTTTTTAAGTTAATAATTTTGGAAATTTCCAATAAAGCAAAAAATATCTATCCTTAAGCGAAGTCACTGTTAATAAAACGATTCAGTAAAAACTTAAGTTGATTCAGCGCCTTAAAACACGGGAATACAAAAAACCCTCAAACTATGACATACATACTAATTAAAAGGGTAACTAAATTTTACAGATTAGAAAAAATCACCAGTCAATTTGGATCCAACACCACAGACGCTCTCAATATATTCACGCGCCTCATCCAACAGCTTGTTAGTTTCCTCAGCTTCTTTCAAATTCTTGGCCAATTGAGTTGTTAACTTAATAACCAAGTCAAGACTTTTGTCATCTTCAGGTCTACCCAACTATAAAAATCAAAAATTTTTATATTGATAATTCAATTCTTACGGATTCAGTCTTCTTTTCAGACATTAAGAAGGTCTTAATTAAATTGAATTTAAAATATATTTCTAAAAAGTTAAGAGTTAATACATAAATAAAATTAATAAATAATTATTCAATTAATAAATAATTATAAATAATTATTCAGTTTACAAAAATAAAAATAAAAAAACATTTACTTAATAAAGAATGAGAAAAAATGTGGATGGTCACTTATTTATGTAGTTTACTCCTAATTCCATTGATTTAATACCTTAACCTCAATTTAATAAGGGGAAAGGGCAAGTTGTGTTTAAACAAATTTATTTATAAAAATATAGGGGGGAAAGTTGCATTTATTAAATTTTCGATAATCTTTAAAGGGTTTGAACCAGGGATGGACGAAATTTCGTTTTGTTTCGTTTCGTTTCGCTCTTTCGTGCCCTTTTTTCCATTTCGTTTCGTTTCGAAACGAAACAGAAAAAATTTATTTCGTTTCGTTTCGAAACGAAATAGCCAAAATTTCCGGACGAAACGAAATAAAAATACACCCCTAACGACGGCAATTTTTAAGAAATTGGTACTTTATGGATATATCACCCCCCTCCCTATTTTGAGTCTCAGAGTTTTCCTTAATATGTAATAATGGTCAGCCATTTTCCTACACCAATTCCTCTCCATTTCCCTGTGGTAAATTTGAATAATTGAAAATTAATCTTTTCTTTATTAACGCCTCTCATTTAACTTTGCCACAGGGAAATGGAGAGGAATTGGGGTAGGAAAAAGGTTGACCATTATTACATATTAAGGAAGACTCTAAGACTCAAAATAGGGAGGGGGTGATATATCCATAAAGTACCAAGAAATTTTTCTACAATTTTTAGGAAATTTTGTGGGATTTTAGTTAAATATTTGAATTTTTTCAAACATTTTGCCAAAAATAAATTCATTTTTCTGAGTTCAGTTGAGTCCATACGCGAATGAGCCCGGCATAATTGAAACTTTTTGAATATGCCCCAATTGATCTAATGGATGCATTAAGGAGAAATTTACAGGGATTTCAGGGGGTTGAGTATTAAGCGAGATTGGTATGGAGCGCTGATAAATTGAAGAGTTCTGGCTTCACGACCATCTAAACTTCAAAAAATTTTGTCTCGGCTCTTACAAGTGAATTTTTTCTCTTAAGTCCTTCCAAAATTCTCTAAATTTCTGCACCTGCGGCGCAGAAAATGGAACAAATTTAGTTTCTGGCCTTATATAATTTAAAAAATTTTCGCCTGTGGTGCAGAAAAGGGATTTGAGTTTAAGAGGGATACCAGGAGATTAAAAGGTGAAAAGTTCCATGGAATAGGATTTACAAAACACTGGTCAAAATATTCCAAAGCTGGAATTCTGAGGTCCAAAGTTGATATACAGCGGGATTTTAATAGGATATCGGTGGATTAAAGCGCATATCTGTCTATTTAAAGGTTTAAGGTGGATATCCGAAGATTTGTAGGGTCCTCTCTTGTTTCTGTAGCATTTTTGTCACGGATCTAGCTCTAGAGTTGCATATTTATCATTTAAATAACGATTAAAAGCCTTTATGAACTGAAAAATAAATATTTTTTAATTTTTATTTTATTTCGTTTATTTCGTTTCGTCCGAAACGAAATGAAATTTTTTTATTTCGTTTCGTCCGAAACGAAATGAAATTTTTTTATTTCGTTTCGATTCGAAACAAAAAAAATTTTTATTTCGCCCATCCCTGGTTTGAACTTTAATTAATGACTGAATTTTTGCTTTTGAAATTTTGTAGAACTTCCTAATTTCTGAACTTTTTGATTATTGTTTCAACATTCAAAGGTTTTTGTGCTTTTAGGTTATTTTTGGTTTCGATTAAGGTTGTCTCCGACGAGTGGAGTGCCACGGGGGGGGGGGGGGGGGGGAATTTCAAACTCCCCAACTTTCGGGGACGGAAAACAACCCTAGTTTCGATTTATAGGGTCAATAAATTATTTTTTTCGATAACTATATTATATCGGTACTGTCTCCAATTTTAAATTACAGACTTCTGCATTTTTTGATAATAAGTAGGGTGGTCCAAAATATGCACGGAAAAACGCCAAATATGCGCATATATATGCACCGAAAAACCCCTAAATATGCACTGAAATATGCAAAATTTTCTCAAATATGCACTAAATATGCAGTAAGAAACTAAAAATTTGCGTTAAAAATCAATAATTTAAGTAAAAAACACTAATTTAGCCTTTAATTTTGCATTGTAAGTGAATTTCTAAAAGATTTTATGGATTTAAAATTTCTGCGAAAAATTTTTTTAAAAAAATTTTTATTTCAAAAAAAAATTTTTTTTCAAAAAATTTTCAAAAAAAATTTTTTTTCAAAAAAAAATTTTTTTTTAATTTTTTTTCAAAAAAAAATTTTTTTTTCAAAAAATTTTTATATAAAAAATTTTTTGGACAAAAAATTCCAAAATTTTGACCAATTTTTGGCAAAATTTTACAAAAAATGCTAAAATATGGACCAAAATATGCAAAATTTGCCAAAATATGCAAATATGCACGAGAGGGCCAAAATATGCAAAGATATGCATTAAGAACCTGGTCCTAAAGTGCTCGGACCGATGTAAAAACACCATTTTTGAGCTTCTCTCATCAAGGCATATCCGCATACAATATGCCTTGACATGCAAATGCATGTTTTGGACCACCCTAATAATAAGATTTAAAATTTATAGTTTTTATTTATAGTTTCCTAATTATTTTTAAAATTATTTTACCTTCATTTTCTTAAACTCTTCTCCAACAAAAGAATTAATTATTCCTGAAGACGTTAAAAAATTCTTAGCAAATTTAAGCCAATATTTTTTTAGTTGATCTCCTTCCATTTTCTCATTTCTCAAACTTTAGAGAATATTAATTTAATTAGTATATTTTAAGTGTTCAAACAAAAGTTTGATAATTTTATTTTTTTAAGTCTATATCTTTTAATTAAAATGATCATACTTCGATTTTAAGAAAAAATCTTAAGAGTTTTATTTTTAAAATTTTAATAATTTGGTTAAAAATTTGTAAAATATTAGGTTTATAATAAAAAATTTATGTGATAGTTTGGCTAAACTCCCCCCCCCCCCATATTTTTTTCACTGACCATTTTGAGCTTTTTTGATTGATATATACCTAATTATTATAAATCATTCAAAAGAGCTCTTCGAGCTGGGTCGAAAGATATCAAAATTGGCTAGATTTTGAAGATTCTGAACAGCATTATGAAGCTAAATATAGAAAGATGAAATGGGGGGGGGGGTACCAACCAAAACCAAACAATTACCAAAATTTATTTATATTTTACCAAATTCTTAAATCATTTAAAGAAATGTTAGCTGTTTTAAACACATTAACAAGTAATTCAACAGGCATAGCTTGTCCTTGATTTTTTAATTTTTCCATTAAATATTTTGTTGTTTTTTTGTATTTTTTAAATTTGAATTTCAAGTTTATATTTTTGGA